TCTGCCTTTTGTTGTTTTATGTGGGTCCTGGGGGTTCAAGTCAGGTCCTTGTGTTTGTAAGGCAAGCAGCTGGCAGACTGAGCTATCTTATCTCCCAAGCCTGGGAAACTAATTCCTTGAGCTCAAACCTCATCAGCCCGAAGGAGTGTGCAGACAAACTCAGCTTTGTTCCTTTCTGCTATGTATTTCTTGTGCTGGTTCCCCTCTGGATGCCCGCGGTGGCCTTTTACAGTTCTCACTACCTCCCTACCCTTTAGTTTCTGCCTGTGGAAGATGCTGGTCAGTGGAACTGGAAGCCCAAGTTTCTCCCATAACTTGTTGCTTTTTATAGTTTTTGAGATAAGTTTTCATCTATTTATTCTGAGGATCTCACTATGTAGCTCTGGCTGGTTTTCCCACAAAACTCAGCAAGGTTGAAGGAGAACATCCTGTGCCTCCAGCATGGAGTCTCCAAACCACTTCTCAAGCCTGTGCGTCCTGTGCCCTTTCCACACAGGCCAAGTTTGGGGGCAGAGATACAGGACAAACCACACAGGGAAGTTCCGGTCTATGGCATGCCCAGGACTCTAGCCAGCCTCCCCCCTTTCATCTCTCCTTGCCGTGTCCCTCAAGGGAGACTCTCAGTAGGTCAGAGCCACAAGGAAAGTGGAGGTGTAGAACCCTCCAACTAGCATTTGGAAGAACCAAAATTACTCCAATCAGGAGAACCCCAACAGCCAAGGCTCTTGCTTGGGAAGCACTTCCTCTCCCGTGAGCCCTCAGCTTTGTGGGGCTGGGAGCAAGTGCAGGAGGTGGTGCCAGAGCTGGGCTCTCATCCCTGGCTCACAGCTGGAGGAACATCTGCCCTGCATGAGCCGCTTACTAAGAGCTTTCATAGACGATCCCATTTCATCTCCCATGCAACCCTGGGAAGAAGTTGAGGAGGAAGGGAGGGAAGAAGGCTTGTTGCCATTATGCAGATGGGACATGGTGTCTGCCAGACATTCCTTCATCATGTGGAAGCACCGTGGACTTTGGAAAGCAGGTGCTATAATTCAAATAGGTGACCCCAAAGGTCTGTGTAGTAAAGACTTGGTTATCAGACTGTGTAGTATTGTTAGAATAGTGGTTCTCAGCCTGTGGGTATGCTACTTACATTACTTAATGATTTATAACTAGCAAAAAAAACAGTTATGAAGTTGCAATAAAAATAATTTTATGGGGCTGGAGAGATGGCTTGGAGGTTAAGAACATTGCCTGCTCTTCCAAAGGTCCTGAGTTCAATTCCCAGCAACCACATGGTGGCTCACAACCATCTGTAATGGGGTCTGGTGCCCTCTTCTGGCGTGTAGGCATACAAGGAGGCTGAACACTGTATACACAATAAATAAATAAATATTTAAAAAAATAATAATAATAATTTTATGGTGGGGATCACCAGAGTATGAGGAACTATATTAAAGGGTCTTAGCATTAGGAAGGCTGAGAACCACTGCTTTACAGAGTTCCATGCGACTGCCTGAGATCACAGTCCTTTGGTTCTACAAGCCCAGACTTGGACCTGGCTCTGGGATCACCCCAGGGCCTCCTTTTGTGGGTCCCAGAAGCAGATCCTTGACATTTCAATGGGCCAAGCTCTCTCTGTCCATCCCCAACCTCCAGACTGTGTGTCTATCCACACCTGTTTCTAGGGCAATTTAAAGACATATACAGCTTTGGTTTATGTAAAATTCACCTGTATATAATGAATGTTCTGGGGGTTTTATTATATTCAGCATTGAGTAATTGTCACCACTGTCCAAGTCCAGAACATTGTTCTTAAGCCAAAAGTCCCCATTAGCAGTGACCCCACATCACCAGGGTACCAGCTGTTCCCTTTTCTGACGTGTCACATGAAAGGATGCAGACAGTATTCACCTTTTGTCTTTCTGGCACCTTTCATTTAGCATAGCATTTTTCCACAGACTATCCACGTATTTGGTATGCATCAATACTTTCTAACTATGGCTGAAAACGACTCCATTGTATGGGGCTGGAGATGCAGATCAGTTGGTAAAGTGTTTGCCATGCATAAAGGTGGCCTGAGCTCAATCCCCAGCATCATGTAAACCAGGCATGATGGCTCCTGCCAGTAATCCTAGCATTCTGGAGGTGGAGGTGGAATGTTCAGATGTTCAAGGTCATCCTCCACTCCACAGAGAATTCAAGGCCACCTGGGCTACGCAAGAGTCAACTTCAAAAAAAAAAAAAAAGCCACATAAGCCAGATGTGGGTGGCAGCGCACATCTTTAATCCCAGCACTCAGGAGGCAGAGGCAGGCGAACCTCTGTGAGTTGAAGGCCAACCTGGTCTACAGAGTGAGTTCCGGACAGCCAGGGCTACTCAGATAAATCACTGAGTGGTGCATGCCTACAATCCCAGGTGCTTGACAAAAGGAAAGGAGAAAGAAAAAGGGGGGAAGAGAAATGGCTGGACACGGAGCTTGTTGGTAGAGTATTTGCCTGGCACGTTGAGGCCCTGGGTTTAATCAATGAAATTAAACAATGAAAAGAGGGGCAGGAGGCAAAGCCAGGGACCCAGCCCTGGCAGCCCCTCTTGCAGAACAGGGGGATGTTTTCAAGGGTGGCCTTGCCTGGCACAGAGGGACTGAAGAGCCACTTGCGGAGTCGCTGTGAACAATCACAAGCCCTTCCCAACCTTGACCGCCTGGCCAGACTCCACACACCTCTCAGGCTTGGCCTGTCTCAGATCTCAGAACTTCCTCTAGGCTGTGTTCAGAGTTTCCTCTTCGCGGAGGCCACCTGCTCCCAGACACCTGTCTCCAAGCACACAAGGCCTCTCTCTGACAGTCTTCGAGACTCTCCTTGTATTTCTCATCAACTGTAGTCCTACATTGCTGAAGGTATTGCTCCTACCAACTCAAAAGTTCCAGAAGTGAGGCTGGCTGCCTGCTCCCAGGATCAGAGGATTCAGAGCTGATCCTTAACCAACACCACCCTCTGATGCCCCCATCTGTTGCTACCCATACCTTTTACAGAGGGCACTGATGCCCTTGCCTGCCTCCTAAGGGCTCTGCCCAATGCTATGTAAGCACCCAGACACTGCTGGGTCACTGTTGATGACTGTTAAACTCAACCAGGACTAGATTGACACCAGCGGACACAACCTAGATCCAAGTGTTCCTCTTCCCTGCCTAGGTGGGTGTTCCCAATCACAAACAGACTGCTTGGGGGCCCTTGTCTGAGTTAAAGTCACCGAACCGGGAGTTCTTAGGGCAAGTGGGCCTTGATGCTTGCAAGCGAGTCGGTGAGTGGATGACAGAGTCGCCAGCTCAGATGGCAGACATGGCGTGGGATCTGGTTCCCTAGGACAAAGGCTGGTGCAGAGGGCAGGTGAATAAATCATGAGGGGCCTGCAGCAGGCCAGCAGGCCACAGCTGACCTCATTCTGGAAGTGAGGCGTAGGCAGCTGCGTGGTGAGTGGCTGGGGTGTGGCAAGGGGGAAGGGGTTTTGTGGCACCTCCACCCTTGTTCCCTGAGAGGAACTTGAAGGTCACTGGAGAGGTGGGGAGACAGAGGCTAAAACAGAGGTGTCCTGGGGCTCCAGATGGGGGAGGGCGAAGCAGGTGGCATGCTTTTCCAGAATCTTGGAGTAAAAGAGTAGGAAGGGCAGACAGACAAGGCAAGGTGAGAAGGAGCCTCTGAGCATCAGTGAAAGGGACTGAGGGGAGCAGACAGGGGCTGAGGAGAGTGGATGGGGGGCTGAGGGGAACGGAGAAAGGTCAAGGCACAGAGAGAGGGCCAGAGGGTCATGGGAACAGTGCTAGACCAAGACAGAGCTGATGGAGAATGAGCAGGATACGGAGCATGCTCAGACCACCAGCCAGAGATGTGCGAGCAGGACTTGGGGGCTGAAGGAGGCCCATCCACTTGGGAGCCTAGCCACCTGGGTCAGCAAGGAGACCTGGGGTGCAGTCTGTGAAGGCTGGAAGGAAGGAGGAAGATGAAGATTTCAGAGATGGGCTACATGAGTAGCAATGGAAGAAGATAGTGACTTTAGGGGAGTTGGACTCTACTAATCCCCAGAACCAAAAGGGAAACGGTATCTGAGCTTCCTTCCTGCAGGTCAACCAGCACCAGCAGGAACAAAAAAGGTGCTACACCCAGGGCCATGGCCCTGCCTGAGGGCCCAGCAGATGGCAGCCTCCCTGAAGGGGACTCCATCCCATCCACAAACACTCCAGGACCCAGCCAGGACCTAGCCAACCCCACTGCCCGCAAGCGGGCCCTCCTCCGTGAGCTGGAGGCCCAGGTGCAGGCTGCCTATGGGCAGGTAAGGGGCAGGAACTGTTCTTTAGGGGAACCCACATCCCAGCTGGATATAAGACAGCCCCAGGGCCAAGTCCACTTACAGGTGATCAGAGGGCTGAGAAGAAGCTAGGGACCCATCTCTGTGGATACGAAAGGATCCAGTACCCAGAGTGATCCTTTATTGTAAGGTATCGAGCACTGGTCCAATTACAGGGTAAAAGAGCCCTGAACAGAGACAGGGTCCTGGCCGCAGACTTCAGACCGGCCAAAGGTAAAAGCAGGTAGGACTCATCTTCCAGTCCCCAATTGCCACAGAGAGTTGGGCTCCAGCTGACCCAGGCATGGGGTGCCAGCTCCTTCCGTGGGGATCCAAGCCTGCTTCTGAAAGGTGCTGATTGGGGAGATTAGAGCAAGGCTAAGAGGAGAAGGGCTAGGGGCAGTGTTCAGAAGACCCTTCTGAGGAAGTTCCAGGAGGCTGTGCCTTCCAGGGAGCCTTGACTCTGAGTACCCCCCTACTTGCAGAGATTCTCTGACATAATCTGGGATTGGATTAGGGCCCAAGCCCCGGGCCCAGGGCCCCCGCCTGCCCACCGGCCCCTGATCTTGCCCACAAAACCCCAGGAAAATCCTCTCCAGTGCTCCCAGGCTGTCCCTGGAAACAGCAGGAGGCTGGCAGAATCCACAGCATCCTCCCAGGACTCAGGGCCTGGCATGGTTCAGGGACCCATGGGGAACTGTGCCAAGCGGCCCTGGCGCCGGGGGCCTAAGGTAGGAAGATGAAGGGGAAACCTAAGGCCAGAAACCTGGGTGGCCCCATGTGTTGGGCAGGCAGTAGCCAGAGACCTAGGAGTAATGGGCTGGATTATAGAGGTCCGCGGGCTCCAGGGGAGATGGAGGGGACATCTGTATGCTTTTCTTAAGGAGATGTTTTTCTGGACAAAGAGCCCCTCTGATCTTGGCTGGGACTCCCCTGCTAAGTTAATAGTCCAGCTGCCGGTTCTGGGTAGGCCCTACTCTCTCAGCCGTGGCCAGGGTGACCAGAGTTAGAGGCCACAGGCTACAGGTTTCCTCAAGGACCTGGGAGAGGCCCTCACCTCTGACGGGTGAACCTTTCCAGCCTAGAGAGTAAATGGGGCTTGTGTACTCAGAGGCCCCGCCCCCTCTGCCAGGGGCTGAGCTCCAGAGAACGGAGCTGGAGAGGGGCTGGGGGGGGGGGGGGGTTGCTTCGGCTTATGGCTGAATTTGCCATAGGAACACTGGCAGTGGCCTGGAGCCCCCCTAGGGAGGCCCAGTCCCGGCCCTAGCCCCAGAGCTGAGGAGCAGGAGGGCACCCAGGGCTACTCGGTGCTTGGCAGTCTGGTGGGGCCAGCCTGCATCTTCCTTCGACCCAGCATCGCCGCCACCCAGCTCGTATGTACAGTCACTCCTCTGCCAGCCTGCTGCCCCGGTCCCTTCGCCTCATCGCTCCCTGAATAGGAGGGAGAGGCCGGAGAGGACATCGGAGGATAGACACGCAACCCCCGGGGTTGGGGCCAGAGCGGTAGCTCCAGAACAAGTTAAGAGTTCAGGGAGCCCCTAGATCCATACCAGGCATGGGGGGTGGGTAGGGACCCAGAGAAACAGCCACCCAAGGGTTGGGGGTGCAGCCCAGTGACAGAGCACTTGCTTTTAGCAAGACCAGGGTCACGCCTACAAAAACAGAAAAGTAAGTTCTTCCAAGGGAAGATGGCTGGAGGTGGCAGGGTTCTCAGGAGAGGGACAGTGGGCAAAGCCGACTTGCAGTGACATTGAGGACAGCTGGGTTGCGTATGACTATGACGTTCTGTCTGGCCCTGGGATCTACCTCTGTCAAAAGGAGCTATGTACCTCAAAAGACAGTGTAGGAACAGGGGTCCTGAGGGTCCCCTGGCAGGTTATAGGAAAAGAGAACCCCAAGACACCCAGGCAGGTGAGCAGGACTGGGCAGAATAAGTAGCAGGCCCTGGGTATGCTGTGGTGTGGGCTGGATGACGAACCCAAGAAACAGAAGGAAGGTGCTGAGGCCTGGGTGTGCCAAGGAATCCCTAAGCCATCTGTGCCCGCAGGACCGGGAGCTGAGACCAGAGGAGATTGAAGGTAAAGAAAGAATTCAAGGAGGGGCTAGTCGAGGTGGGGCATGGATGGAGATTAGAAGGGGAGGTTTGGGGCTGGGGCCTCTGCAGGGTCCAGGAAGGGTAAGAAGGTTATGGGGTGAGACTGGGCAGGGAGGGATGGCAAACCCTCCCTTCTTCGGCTGCCAACCCCTTGGTCTCAGTGACCACACTGGTCAAGGGCCTCTTTCATATTTGTCCTGGCTGTCCACTGTGGGCCTGGCCCCTCACTGAGAACCAGGAAGCACTGCTAACCAATAGATAAGGCCGTGCCTTCTGGAGCTACAGTGGCAGCTGTGTGGGTCTGGAGAGGAAGAAATAGCAGAGAAGCCTCCCTGGAGTCGGTGACACTGAAGCCGAGGAGGGAAGAATGGAATCTCCCTGAGCTCATAGCTTTTCTAGCTCCCCTCCCCTCCCCCTCTCCCTTCTCTTTCTAATCACCTAGAGCAGAAACTGACACATAGTAGATGCTTCCCAAACATTCCATGAGAACAGAAATTTAAGATCATATGTGCAAAAGCCCTAAGACAGCAAATAGGAACTGAGGCTTAAGAGCAAGAAGGGACTGGAAGAAAGGGGACAGATGGGCTGGTCCCAGCTGGCAGCCAGGGAGAGTTTTGGAAAGGACTAAGCTCACTCTGCCTGGCAGAGCTGCAGGTCGCCTTCCAGGAGTTTGATCGAGACCGGGATGGCTACATCGGCTACCGGGAGCTGGGTGCCTGCATGCGGACGCTGGGCTACATGCCTACAGAGATGGAGCTCATTGAAATATCACAGCAGATCAGTAAGTGCCTCAGCCCGTGCCTCAGACCCACCCCACCCCCGCACTTCAGCCCTGGCCCAGACCTGAGGTAGCTGCATGCGCTGACCCAAGAGCACAGGGCATAACTGTCTTTAAAGGAGAGCTGCCTCCTAAGAATCTACTAGGAGAGTGGCGAGGATGACACGACCCCCTCCTGCCTCCCCCGACCCGTTTACCAATAGTGACTGAAGCTCAGAGAGGTGAAGTCTTTGTCCAGAGCAGGCTCGGGAAAGAACAGTGAGTCTTACGAGCCTGCTTGAGGATGATTCTCACCAGTAGCTGCAGATGACGCAGCCTCTGGTACCCAGGGATGAGAGCTCATCCAGTGCCATGAAGGAAGGGACCAGGAGCAAGAGGGAAGGCGGTGGGCTGGGGAAGGCAGGTCAGGTGCTAGGCCAGGGTCTTTCATGGATGAATGCACCCTCAGGTGGTGGGAAGGTGGATTTTGAAGATTTTGTGGAGCTGATGGGTCCCAAGCTGTTGGCAGAGACTGCGGATATGATTGGCGTGAGGGAGCTTCGAGACGCCTTCCGGGAGGTGTGCCGGGGTGGGAGGGGTGGAGGGTGGGTGAGACTGTGAGATTGCAGGAGTTAAGGGCTGAGCGAATGTGGGACTCAGTCAGTGACCCCATGCCACCATCGATGCTGCCACAGTTTGACACCAATGGAGATGGCTGCATCAGTGTGGCAGAGCTGCGGGCAGCCCTCAAGGCTCTGCTGGGAGAACGCCTCAGCCAGAGGGAGGTAGATGAGATACTCCAAGACATCGATCTCAATGGAGATGGCTTGGTTGACTTTGAAGGTAACGCCTCCCCTGTTTAGCTGAATATGCCCTGAAGATTCCAAACCAGCAGTTCTTGACTTGTGGGCCTTGACCCCTTTGGGGTTGCATATCAGATATTTATATTAGGATTCATAACAATAGTAAAATTAGTAACAATGGAAATAATTTTATGGTCGGGGTCCCCACAACATGAGGAATTGTATTAAAGGGTCACAGTGTCAGGAAGGTTGAGAAACTCTGATCTAAACAGACCCGGGTTAAACATTATTGGAGGATCAAGGAGGCAGGGCTATTATACTCCCTACTGGCGAGAGAAGAAATCTGTGTCAGTTCTCAGGATAGCTAAAGTACTTACTTAGGATAAGGAACTAGGGAGAGCCAAGATTGTAATCTGGGCAGCTGAGGCCCCTCCTCCTGGTTCTCAGATGCCTTTGAAGGTCTCCTCAAGCCCACTCTAGCCCACTCTTGAGCAGGCAGATCTGCCAACCCTGATGGGGTCAGGAGGGCAGACCTGAAACCTTGCCCTTGTCCTGGCAGAATTTGTTCGGATGATGTCTCGGTGAGCTTATATAGAAGCTGGAGTGGACCAGCCTGGAGGACCACAGCCGCTGAGCCGCAGAGGAGCCCATGTATTCCTGGAAACTCATTATGAATCAGACTGTGTGCCTCCTCCCACCCCTGCTGGGCATAGTGCCCTCTCCTGTCACCACCCTTAGCTCTCCCTGGTTCTCTGACAATAAAGCATTTTCCAGCTTGTGGAGAAAGAGTTTTTCCTACTCGTTTATCCTGGAAGTCTGGCATGTGACCCCAAAAGTCAACCCCTGGAGCTGGCCTTCTAACCACAGGTTACCTCAATTGTGAGTTCAGGGGGTATGGAGATCCCCTCTTCTTCCTCTCTGGATCCTGGATCCAGTCCAAAGGAAGTGATAAAAGGTATCGCTGAGCTAGGCATGGTGGTGCACACCTTTAATCCCAGCTCTCAGGAGACAGAGGCAGATGAGTCTCTGAGTTCGAGGCCAGACTGGTCTACAAAGTGAGTTCCAGGCCAGCTAGGGCTTCCTAGGGAGACTTTGTCTCAAAAGCGAAAACAAAAACCACACACAGAGAGGAACACATGCAGATGCACACACACACATACATGCATACATCAGTGCTCTGAGTTCTGTGCTTGAAGATGCCCAGGACAGAGCCCTTCTCCAGTTCTGTCATGTATGTATTACTGCCACAGCCTGGGAGGAGCATTGCTCAGAGCTTTCAGGAGGATGGTAGCTAGCAGAAGCCCCCCACTCTGTGCCTCTGTCTGATAGCTAGGACTTCTTTTTTTGTTGTTTGTTTGATTGTTTTTGTTTTCCGAGACAGACCTGGCTGTCTTGTAACCAGGCTGGCCTGAACTTCCCGAGCACAGTGGGAAGGGAATAGGACTGGTCAGCCCTGCCCAATTCAAGGCCCATCTAATGGACAGTCTGGGTTGGGGGTCTTTTAGGTCAGCATAAAACATAGGTCCTTCCTAGCAGGAATCAGGACCTTCCTGCCCTAACTAGCTGTCCTTTCCTTTACTAGTATCCCTAACCTAAATCTTCACTCTACTAGACACTCAGATCTCCACACAAAGAGCCTTCTCAGCTCTTGGATGCTGGGAAGCTGTAGGTCTCCATCCAATGCCATTTTTTGTTTGTTTGTTTTCGTTTTCTGAGACAGGGTTTCCTTCAATATACAATTACTGAAAATTGACATTAGACAATAAAACTGGGCCTAGTGTTAGTAGCACACACTTTTAAACCCAGCACTTAGGAGATAGAGGCAGATGGATCACTGTGAGTCCAAGGCCAGTCTGGTCTACAATGTGAGTTCCAGGACAGCCAGGGCTACACAGAGAAACCCTTGTCTTTTTCTTTTCCTTTTTTTTTTTAAAAAAAATATTTATTTATTTATTTATGTATTTATTATGTATACAATATTCTGTCTGTGTGTATGCCTGCAGGCCAGAAGAGGGCACCAGACCCCATTACAGATGGTTGTGAGCCACCATGTGATTGCTGGGAATTGAACCTCAGAACCTTTGGAAGAGCAGGCAATGCCCTTAACCTCTGAGCCATCTCTCCAGCCCCCCTTGTCTTTTTCTCCTTCCCATGTAGATTAGACCTATGTAAGTCTCTCTTAGTGTCCACATTGTTGGCTAAGTTCTCTGGGATTCTGTTTTATAGGCTGGTTTTCTTTGCTTTATATTTAAAAACCACCTATGAGTGAGTACATGTGATAATTGTCTTTCTGTGTCTGGATTACCTCACTCAAAATAATATTTTCTAGTTCCATTCATTTTCCTGCAAAATTCAAGATGTCATTATTTTTTTCTGCTGTGTAGTACTCCATTGTGTAAATGTACCACATTTTTCTTTTTTTTTAAATATTTATTTATTATGTATACAACATTCTGTCTGTGTGTATGCTTGCAGGCCAGAAAAGGACACCAGACCCCATTACAGATGGTTGTGAGCCACCATGTGGTTGCTGGGAATTGAACTCAGGACCTTTGGAAGAGCAGGCAATGCTCTTAACCTCTGAGCCATCTCTCCAGCCCTGTACCACATTTTTCTTATCCATTCTTTGATTGAGGGGCATTTAGGTTGTTTCCAGGTTCTGGCTATGATAAACAAAGCTGCTATGAACGTAGTTGAGCAATTGTCCTTGTGGCATGATTGGGCATCCTTTGGATATATACCCAAAAGTGATATTATTGGGTCTTGAGGAAGGTTGTTTTCTAATTTTCTGAGAAATCGCCACACTGACATCCAAAGGGGTTGTACCAGCCTGCATTCCCACCAGCAATGCAGGAGTGTTCCCTTTTCCCCACAACCTCTCCAGCATAAGTTGTCATCAGTGTTTTTGATCTTGGCCATTCTTACAGGTATAAGATGGTATCTCAGAGTTGTTTGGATTTGCATTTCTCTGATGACTAAGAATGTTGAACATTTCCTTAAGTGTCTTTCAGCCATTTTAGATTCCTCTGTTGAGAGTTCTCTGTTTAGGTCTATACTCCATTTTTTTTTTGGTTGTGTGATCTTTTGGTGTCTAATTTCTTGAGTTCTTTGTATAGTTTGGAGATCAGACCTCTGTCTGATGTGGAGTTAGTGAAGATCTTTTCCCATTCTGTAGGCTGTCGTTTTGTCTTGTTGACCATGTCCTTTGCTTTACAGAAGCTTTTCAGTTTCAGGAAGCCCCATTTATTAATTATTTCTCTCAGTTCAGTGTCAATGTGTTCAAGTGTACTTCCCACTTTCTCTTCTATAAGGTTCAGTGTGGCTGGCTTTATATTGAGGTCTTTGATCCATTTGGACTTGACTGGAACTAGCTCTTGTAGACCAGGTTGGCCTCGAACATACAGAGATCCACCTGCTTCTGCCTCCTGAGTGATGGGATTAAAGGTGTGTGCCACAGCAACCTGGTTTGTAGAGACATTTTAATTTAACACTCTCAGGTCGAGAAACTGAGAAGCCCAAGATCAAGATTCAGGCAGAGGCAGGAGTCTGAGGCTAGCCTCAGCTATATAGTGAGACCCTGACTCAAAAAGCGGAAGAAGAGCAGTGGGGGTGGGGGTGCACACCATTAATCCCAGCCAGCCTACCAAAACAGGGGCTCCAAATTCAGTGAGAGAGCCAGGCAAGGTGGCACACGCCTTTAATCCCAGCACTTAGGAGACTGGGGCAGGAAAATCTCTGTGAGTGTGAGGCCAGCTTGGTCTACATAGGGAGTTCTAAGGCAGGATTACATAGAGTCTATAATGTTAATAATATTGAGGACAAGGAGTGTGATTGGGGAAGACATTGGCTGCCAACCTCTGACTCACACATACAATAAATAAAATAAAGTACCAAGGCGTTGGGAGCACGCTGGTCCTCGCAAGGTGGTCTCAGTGGAGCATGCAGGCACCCTGGATCCCCAAGCAGCAGCCTGGAATCTGCACTCTGAGGTGGCAGGGCTGGCTTCAGCAGCCTCAGCACCACCCATCTGGAGATCCCAATTAATCCTTAATCTTCAATTAAGTGATCCCTGCTGCCAAGCCTATAGCCCCAGTCCCGTGGCTTTTCCAGACGCTGACACAGATGGTATCACGCGTGAGATGTCTCTGCAGGAACTGGGGGTGGCAACCACCAAAATCGAGGGGAAAGCAGGCAGGGTCCACTGCCCACTGTCCCCCAAGCCCCACCCAAGCCTCTGTGGGGGGATGGTGAAGGCCACCAGAGAAGGTCTTAGACACAGTGTGTCTCCTAACACAAAGTGTTCATGGATCCCCCAGAGGTCATATGTGCCCCCCACCACAAAAAGGCCTCTAGTCCAAATGTTCCGGTCCCAGTTGGAGTAGGTCTGGGTCAGGGTCAGGAGGGGCGCGAACATTAGGTCTATGCTGCCCGCGTGGGGGTGGCGTGTTTGTGAGCCTGGGTTTCCCAGCTGCTAATTTATGCGTCCCTGGGAGCATGCTCACTGCCTTGGCCCTTGGCCTTCCAGGTCAGCAGTGGTCCACTCCCACTGTGCTCCTTCTGTGTCTGTGAAACAGCTGGATTCTCGGCTTGCTGACTTCCTAGATGAACTTTGGGTTTGGTTTTTTTTTTTTTTTGAGAGGTAGGGAGGGCTGAGGTTTCTCTGTGTAGCCCTGGATATTTGGGAACTCTCTTTATAGACCAGGCTGGCCTTGAACTCAGATGTTCACCTGCCTGTGCCTCTGGAGTGCTGGGATTAAAGACTTGCGCCACCACTGCCCTGCTAGATGGACTTTTAAAATGTATGTACACTGAAGTCTGCCCATTGACAAATATTCAGTGTCTTCTAGTCACCCTGGTAGAATCATATGAAATGGTTCACTCTCCTAAAAACATTGCCTAGACTTGCTGGCCCTGCCCCACCCCCAGACCCTCCTTAAGCCCAACAGCTAGTCTCCTGTCAGTCTTAGGGTACTTTCCCTTTTCTAGCATGCTGCACAATCGGAATCATCCATGCTGTAGCTTCTTCAGGCATTTCTTTCACTTAGCACCATGCACTTAAGATTTAGCTATGCCATTGTATGGGGCTGGAGAGAGATGGCTCCGCAGTTAAGAGCTCTCCCTGGCTGCTCCTCTAGACGACCCAGGCTCAATCCTCAGCACACGTGGAGGCTCACAGTGATCTGTAACTCCAGTCTCATCCCCGTTCATGCCCTCGGAGGGCATCAGGCAAGCATGTGGTGCACAAACACAGACATACATGTAGGCAAAACACCAATAAATATAAAATAATTAAAATTAAAGAGATTTATCTATTTTATTTTATGCTAGATATATGATTTCCATTTGTTTCTGAATAATATTACGTTTTATGAATACACCACAGTTAATTCATCTAGTTACTTTTTTTTGAAACAGAGTCTGTCTATGTAGTTCTGGTTATCCTCAAACTTTCTGTATAGACCAGACTGGGCTCAAACTCAGAGTTCTGCCTGACTCTGCTTCCCGAGTGCTGGGATTAATGGTGTGTGCACTAAACCCAGCTGTTCCTGGTCACCGGGTGAAGGGTGTTTTAGTTTGTAAATTATTCTTGAGACAGAGTCTGGCTGTGTAGCCCAGTTTAGCCTCAGACTCACAGCAATGATCCTCAGTCTCCTGCCGAGCTCTGGGATTACAGGAGTGTATCACACACCACCTCTAAAGTCTGAAGCTGGCTGCCTCCCCAAAGGGCCAGGTGTTTGTTGACGGTTTGGTTCCCCAAGCTCACGGCACTGCT